ACTGTGGATTTCTCTAGTGATAAAGACAGTTCAGATAACTTATCAAGCTATAAAATTTATTTAATCTTTTTTGAACCTCTGTTTCTTCTCCTAATTAATAGGGACATGCCAGTTCTTGCTTCATGTAATATTAAGCAAGAGATACAGATAAGGCATATTTTTTATAATGCCTAGCAAATAACAGCTACCATTGATTGAAGGATATACTGATTAAAGGACTGGATGTGATACAAATGCATATAAAACGTTTTAATAGCCAGGCATGAGCAGGGGCCAAGTCAGGCAGGCAGACGGATTGAAAAGGCAAGTGGAGAAGCAAGGTCCTTCTGGGCTTTGTGTTATTGCCACATATGAGATCGGGGAGAGTGGAGAGAAAAGAGAGAGAGAAACACATCCAGGTGATGCAACTAAATACCTCAAGTTTAAGAGCAACAGTCCTCTGTTGTTCTGCCATTAACTGGGTCCTGTCTGACTCCATCTTCTCAGTCAATTGTTTCACATGTTCCTGATAACTCTTTTCTTTCTGTTCCATCATTTGTTGATTCTTTATTTGCATTTGCTCCAACATTTTTGCTGCAGCCTCTGCAGATTCAGCTTTCACGCGTTGCACTGTCAGGAAGAAAAGAAGAAAAATTTATGGGGGTGACCACATTGCTTCTTTCTTCTTTGTACACTTACCTGCCATTATTGCTGCTGACTGCATATGCTCTACTCAGAACTGACTTCAGCTAGTAAGAGGCAACTTTGCTCATCTTCCTCTAGTTTAAGATCCCAGGTTCACCCAGCCAAACTATTTAAACTTTTCAGAGGCTATCTAGTCTCTTCACTTGTTTCCCACCTTCAATCTCCTTTTCCTTTTCTGTGAGTGTCTGGTCTGTCTGTAGAATTGCATCAGTCACAGACTCCGTGGACTTCAAGTACGCCTGAAGAACTTCTTCAGCCTAGGACCCCGAGAACATGGAGTTAGTAATAGGAAATGGTTGTAAGCACTATTCCTGTTTGCCTACCATCTTTTCCTTTAAGAATTGTTCCTCTGGACCCTGGTGTGTTTGGTGGTTAAGATTCCCTGTCATGGGGTGGGCACATTATCCAGGCTGGCCAAGCACGGCACTTTACAAAGCAGAATCCTTTAGAAGAGATTGCTATAGATCTAGATGGATAGTCTCTGAGCCTTTAGACTGGGGGCTCTAAC